GTCCCTCAGAAGATGAGCTTCCATCAACTAAACGAACACTGCCATCTACAAGATAGAACTAAAGAAAGCTACTCACACTTGAGAAAACTCAAGAGTATTTCTTAGATCGTGAAACTCTGAATTCTAAATCATTCAACTATGCCAATAAAATGCCAACATTACCTGGTGGTCCTGAAACTTCTGGACCTACAGTTGTTGTAGAACAGACCACTCCAGCATCTTCTGAATGACCACAGTTATTGACAGTCCATCCTGCATGGGTACAATCTGCCAGTGTACTTTCATGTCCTGTGCATTCCACATTATCAAGTAAAATGGGTCCAGCACCAACAGAGAATTCAGCAGCAGCTGACACGGCTCGAACAGCAGATGGGAAACCAAGTTGATGACAGATGACAGTTGCATCTTGGATGTCAAACAAGTCATCACAGACAGTCCCCCAGTCACCTTGATAGTAGACTTCAACACGTCCCTCAGAAGTTGAGCTTCCATCGACCAACCGAACACTACCATCTATAGAAACATCAAACCAAAATCTTCAGATAATATACACTTCTACAAAGAGGCTTTTATCAATCCCTTTCATTCTAAAAAAAAAGGTGGCTTCCACAAACTGTCAAATAACTCTACATGATATAAATTAAATTATGTTTTTAATTTTTTTTGAGCTACATGTAGTTTAACACAACATGTAGAACATAAGATAGAGTCAACGTTTCGATCCGCAGATCTTCATCAGGACTGACTAGAATAGTAGATGGCCAGGCATAAAAACTGAAACACTCAAGTAAATAAACAACAAAATGTCGTAAAATCCAGTGTGGGTAACACTGTCACAGTTACACGTCTTGCAAAACAGATATACTGTATGTACATGTAAGCTTCTCAACGAAAAGACCCTGCAAAAGGCCCAGTTTTTGGTATATTTATCCCTAATCTTCTTCTTGACTTGTCGCCATTGTGCAAATCAAGTCCAGGTACTAAGAAATAATCTAACATTAAATCCTGGATAGTTTTCCACATGGTCAATGAAGCATGATCCTGACATTTAAGGTATTAACGCAAGTGTATTTATGACAATGTACATGTGTACGGTGGATAAGTGTACAGTACACTATCACATTGCCAATAATGAAGTGAAATCATGCCTACTCTCCCCCAGTTCATCATAGCGTTAATTGGTAGAGAATAGGCCGTCTGACCTTGCTGGTTTGCCAATGCTGCTCATGCACTAACTACAGTCTAGAATGCCAGTGACATTTTTTGAAGGCCTAAGCACACTATAAGCTGCATGTACATTGTATAATAGTGTTTAACCCCTTCTCGATGGGAATTTCTTTCCGAAAGCCGACTCCAAGAATTCCAGCCTCGCTTGGCCATGAAGGCCACCTGCCAAACTGCAAATTCTCGGTTTGTGGCCCAGCGTGCTCTGCACGCTTTGAATTACACGGTGAAAAGGCTGATTGTTGGGTGGCATGCGGCTCTACTCAAGCTTCCACACTCCCGTTGCGTCTTTTCAAAGTGGGGACTATTGTGAAGCTGGTGATTATGATGCAAATTCGGACTTTTCATTTCTGGGCTACACACAAAGACCAATTACCATATACACAAAAGCCAGGGTCTGCCTTCTTTCACCGTGTTCGCTCGAGCGTGGGCTGAGAATAATAGCTGAAAAGCGGGCTGAGGATCTCAATTTTTACGACGTGTCTCAACGCATCCCGCCGTGAAGGGGTTAACAAGGTAAGCGGGCGATTTGACTTCACTGAAACCAGTGCACTGGTTTCTAGCACTACTGACGCACCTTGTATGCGCAAATAGCAGAATGCCAGTGGCACATTTTTGAACCTTAATGGGCTGTGCAATTTTGTCCTCTAGAGTTAGAAATTGTAAAAATCTTAGTCTGGATCATATAATTGCAAACAAACTAAACAAATCATAAAATTATCCCTGAACCATATAAGTTGGCTCCTCTGTAATGTAAACCATAATTGATAAGTTAGAAGATAACTATCAAACCAAATTAGCAAAACAACATTATCAAACAAGAGGGCAAGATTCTATTGACCAAACACTGCATTTTTAAAAAACGAAACACAAACAGAGCTAATCATAGTTGAGAACAATTAGGAACTCCTCTAAGATTACTAAACTCTGACAATTTACATGTACCTGGCAGTCCTGATACCTCTGGAGCTGCAGTTGTTGTAGAACAGACCACTCCAGCGTCTTCTGAATGACCACAGTTATTGACAGTCCATCCTGCAT